GAGGGAGGGAGGGACAGGGAGAGGGGGAGGGAGAGAGACAGAGAGAGACAGACAGAAAGAGAGGGAGGGAGGGAGGGACAGGGAGAGGGGGAAGGAGAGAGGGAGAGAGACAGAGACAGGGAGGGAGGGAGGGAGGGAGGGAGAAGGAGAGGAGGAGGGAGGGAGGAAGAGAGGCAGAGAGAGCAAGAGAAACTCCTTTGAATGAAATCTCAGTGGCTCATTCTACACAAGAAGAAAAATTAATAAGCTGCCCAGAGTTGCCTCAAGTTGTGAGATGGGTGACATATATAAATTTTATAAGCAAGCAAATAAGTAAGTAAGTAAGTAAATAAACAAACAAACAAATAAATAAATAAGGCATATTCAACAAAACTGTCAGAATTGGATTTCTCCCTCCCTCCAGTAGCAATTCTTCTAGCTTCCTAAACTTTTTAGGATCCAAAAGTCAGATAAGGGGACGTCCTCCCCATCCACTCTGCAGCCCCCATGGCACATGCTTCCATACCCTATTTTTCAAGAACTGTGGAATCCAACCCATATGAAAAAAAAAAGTTTCTTCCAGTTCCTCTGCAGAAATTTAAATCTGGATTTGGCAGAAAGCGAGTGCTTTTGCTGCATCAGAATTATGCTTCATTTAACCCCACTTTCTGCCTCACTAGACAAATGTTAATCAGCTGAGCAAATTAAACACAATTTGCTGTTGTTTTGATCTGTTACTTGGTAACCAGAGAAAAAAGAACATTTCCAGACCACTAGGCTGTTTGATTCCAAAGCCTTTCCAATGCATCTTAAATCACAATTGGGTTGAGCTTCATCCCTTTTTTCAGACCTAAACCGACAGCAAAGACTATAGTCATAGACAAGTCTGTACACTATTTTGTAGACAGAGAGTACAGTGTAGGCATCAACATTCAATCGTCTCTCTTCATGTCTCCAATCTAGCCAATACATATTAATGCAAAAGATTATATATAAAATAAACTACCAGTATTTGGGGGGTAAGCAATGGTAAGCAAAATGCATAAAGTAAGGAGAGCTAGCCAAGGAAAATGTGGCATGGGATAAGAAAAGAAGGTATCATCCTATCTAGATCAGTATTTAGCAAAAAGAGTAAAAGATTGTTGGACTAGAATAGAATAGAACAGGGGTAGGGAAACTTGGCTCTTTTATCACTTATGGACTTCGACTCCCAGAATTCCTGAGTGAGCCATAAAAGGTTCCTCATCCCTGGCCTACTGGTTTTTCAATTGTGGGGGAAATCAATTTTTGACTTGAATGGGACTGTTTAATATACAAATGTATACGGCTCACTCAGGAATTCTGGGAGTTGAAGTCCATAAGTGATAAAAGAGCCAAATTTCCCTACCCCTGCAATAGAATAACAGAGTTGGAAGGGACCTTGTAGGTCATTTAGTCCAACTTAGGTGGACTTCAACTCCCAGAATTCCCCAGTTGGCACTCTAGGAGTTGATATCCACCTTAAAATTGCCAAATTTGAAAAAGACTGACCTAAATGTACTGATACCATTTACCATGACTCTCCTTGCCTTCTCATTCTTGCAAGCCATCTTCACCTTCACCCACACGTAAATACTGCTCTCCTGCCGTCTCCCTTCTGAAGGAGATCTTGGTTGGTACCACTATATACCTGCCTATCTTTAAACACGTGTGTGCATATCCTTCGACTGAAGCCGCAGCACGCAGTTCAGCCATCCAATCGATCCTCTGACTCACTGGAAGGAGGAAGCATTGCCCACGGCTCCCCTGCTCCACACTCTTAACATCCAACTTACTGTGGATGGGTCTTGTACAGGGTCCCATCAATGCCAACCGTGGTTCGGAGCCTCAACAGTTTCTTATTTTCACGGAGCCGCGTCAGGATTGCTGCCAAGGCCGTGGCGCAGAGGTTGGCCGAGCGAAACGAAACAATTGTGCAAACATGCTGGACAGCAATGCAATCTTCTTCGGAGGGATCCAGGCCCAGTTCCTTTAGAATTTCTTTTGTGTTTCTTAGGCCTTCTTTATTCCTAGAGTCCAACCAAGAAGTTAGGAAAATGGAATTTCAGTTACAGGAAGGGATAAAGTGACTTCTTAAAAGTTGAGGATGTACTGTGAATTACAAATTATGCTGCAGGAGGACCCTTTCTGTGAGAGGGAGGAGTGGAGAGAGAGGGAGAGAGAGGGAGGGATGAGAGAGAGGGAGAGAGAGAGAGGGAGAGAGAGGGAGGGAGGAAGGGAGAGGGAGACAGTTGAGAAAGTCCAGAAATATTTCACAAGAAGAGTTCTCCACTCCTCCACTCGTTGCAGAATACCTTATGCCACCAGACTTGAAACTCTAGACCTAGAAAACCTAGAACTATGCTGCCTCCGGTCCGATTTAAATATAATACATAAAATCATACATTGCAATGTCCTACCTGTCAATTAATACTTCAGCTTCAACCATAACGACACAAGAGCACACAATAGATACAAACTCAAGGTTAATCGCACCAAACTTGATTGCAGGAAATACGACTTCAGCAACAGAGTGCTCAATGTCTGGAATACTCTACCTGATTCTGTGGTTTCTTCCCCAAACCCCAAAAACTTTAACCTTAGACTGTCTACTATTGACCTCACCCCTTTCCTAAGAGGTCTGTTGGGGGCGTGCATAAGCGCACCAACGTGCCTACCGTCCCTGTCCTATTGTTTCTTTTCTTTTATTTTTATTTTTCTTATATGTATCCATGTATTCATAACTATGTTTTTACTTATACCTATTATCTTGTAAGCAATTGACAAACCAAATAAATAAATAAATAAAATAAGAGAGGGAGAGAGAGGGAGAAAGATTACCTTGGAGAATCAAAATGAAGACTTCTGTGAGGCTGTTATAGCAGCAGCTGAAGCTGAAAAGACAACCAGGACTATTTGCCACACTCAGGGCAGTAACAATGTTTTATAGGTAGTCTTCCTTTCGCAACCACAACTGAGCCCCAAATTTCTGTTCCTAAGCAAGACTCTTATTACATAACCCTAACCCCCAAAACGTCAACCTCAAACTGTCTACCGTGGACCTCATTCCATTCTTAAGAGGTCCTTAAAGGGGGCGTGCATAAGCGCACCAGCGTGCCTACCGTCCCTGTTCCCATTTATTTGTACATGAATTTCGCCTACAGTTGTTAAGTGAATCTGTTCAGCCCGGCTTCCCCATTCACTTTGCTTGTCAGATGGTTGCAAAAGGGGATCATGTGACTCCGGGACCCTGCAACCGTCATAAATATGAGTCAATTGCCAAGCTTCCTAATTTTGATCATGTGACTATGGGGATAGTCGTAAGTTTGGAAAAAGTCACTTTTTTCAGTGCCATTGTAACTTCAAACGGTCACTAAATGAGTCGTTGTAATTCAAGGACTATCTGTATTCTCTTTTCTATATTGCATAGATATTCAAGTGAGCACCTCACCTCCACCACCCACCACCCACCCCAAAATCTCACAAATGCCTCCCTTACTTTCTGCCATGAAAAATCCCAATATTAAGTCAAATAATTAAATATTAATTTCTTTAACAACCCTTATCTGCTATCCTTGCATAGAGACTTCTTATCTGTGGCTCTGAGGATAGGATCAAAGCCCAAACCAACTGCTTGAAGCAGCCAACTCACTTCGGACCATGTATTTAGTTAACTTTGAAGAGAACAGAAGGAAATATTTACAGGGAAAGAACCGTGTAAATCCATGAAAGCAAAACTCTCAATAGTCTTTTTAGAACAAATATAATTTTACAAGCTTACGCTTTCATCTTTTAAGGTAACGAAGAGTAAAAGAATATAAAAGAATACTGTAGATTCAAACCTCTTACTTTTCCATAGCGGCCACGTGTCTCGTCTCAATCTTCCCCTTAGTACAAAGCGCTGTGGATAACTTCCCATTGAAAAGCAAGCCTTTTCTTGCCATTTTTAAAAGGATAAACCTGACCAGTTCTCCCAGATATAATCCACTAATCATCTTCTCAAACCTACATTCAAACCGAGAACAGTCAAATGTTAGATATCCCTGTAGGGAGATGTCAAAAAGGTTAAAATGATGAAGCTCCAAACCCCATTTCATGTTCAAGTGGCCTTCAGTGAGAATTTCCTATCACAACAGATGACAAATTTCATTTCACCCAATGAAAATTTTCTTTTCAAAAACGTATGTTTTAAAATACAGACATCTGATGTTTTGGAATTATTTCAAGGATGGTATTTTTGCACTTTGGATAAATAATTTGCCAAATGTCTGAAATATGTCAGTTTGTGTTCAGTTTTAACTCAATGTTTTGCAATCTTCATAACTTTAAGATATGTGGATTTCAACTCCCAGAATGGCTGAGTGGCCAGAGAATTTGTGGAGTTGAAGTCCACATATCTGAAGGTTGCCAAGGCTGAGAAAAAACTAGTTTAGTTTTTGCACATCACTATTCTCAGCTGTTTGTCTGGAGGTCTTTTAGGCCATCAATATGTAAATTATCTGAACCAAAAGCCAGTATAGATGTCTTTAAAAGGCCTTTGGAATATAGGACTTACCAAGGTATTTGGACTCCAGCTCTCTCCAGTTCTTTTATATAGCACCTCCACTAATCACACAAATTGTTAGAGCTAAACTCAGAGTTACTGTGTGATAAGATGGGCGACTAATAAATTTGACAAACAAACTTATTCAGCGTAATTTCTGTTCCAATGTGTTGTGGCTCGGAGGTTTGAGCCTGCTTTATCAGAGGTCGAGGACTTGGTCAATGAGGAAGAGGAGGATTTGGCTCTGAGGTTTGAGCCTGCTTTGTTAGAGGATTTGGAATTGCCTTCCTCCCCAGGACTTTCCTCCTCGGCAGGATCTTTCCCCCTGATTGTGCCTCAGGTGTCGGCAGATAATCAGGAGAACGTATCAGAGCCTCTGACTGAGGATCAAGCCGAGGAATGCTGGCTTGATGCGAGGCAACGGCGCAGGCAAAAGTGTAAGTTGCAACGTAAAAGGAAAGGATGAATTAGAGACTGAGATGAGGGACTGACACGCCCCACAGAGAATAAAAGTGGGTGTGTTTGCTCTGAGAATTTGTTCGGGACAACGTGTTAATTTATGAGAGAAGCTTCGAAAGACTCTGTGTGTGGAGATAGCCTGAGATTTATGTTCTTGCTTTATTATCGGACTTGGCAGTCAGCTTGTGTGAGACTGCCAAGGACTTGCCTGGCTAAAGGAATTTAACCCTGTCATTACTGGACTTGTCTGCTTGTTTATATTCATTTGGAACCTTGGACTTCTCACCTCGTTGGCACAGGTGAGACATAACACCAATGTATGACTTAATTCAGTGTTTCTCCACCTTGGCAATTTTAAGACACAGGGATTTCAACTCCCAGAATTTCCTCAGCCAGCATGCTTAGCTGGAGGATTCTGGGAGTTGAAGTCCACACATTTTAAAGTTGTCAAGGTTGAGAGGCACTAGCCTCATTTGCTGCCTTAGTAGAAGGAAACCTCACAACGGCCTGACCACTCCACTTACAATTGTTTTCCAGGATTTATAGACCCCGAGTCAATCTCCTTGTCAAACTCTGTCCTAATGTCTTCCAGAGATGCATCGTCTCCAAAGGCTCCCCATTCAGTGTTAATGCACATCCGGCCTTCATCCCCTTCTACTAGATCAATATTGCTCATCTCCTCCATGTAGCAAGCGTTGGTGCCTGTTCCTGCTCAGTCGTCACATTTTGAAAGATGGAAAAAAAACAGAGAGATGAATAAACAGCTTACTTCATTCAGCCTAGAATGCTTTTCAAAACTATATGCATGAAGTACCCGATAACAAGATTGCTGGGGGAGGCACAGCTTGAAAGACATTTGCAATTCTGGAATATGCAATAACAGAGTTGGAAGGGTTCTTGGAAGACTTCTAGCCCAACCCTATTATGCTATATTATACTATTCTGGACATATGATTGTCCAATCTCTTCTTTAAAAAACCCCAGTGAGGGAGCACCCACAACTTCTGGAGACAAGCCATTCCACTGATTAATTGTTCTCACTGTCAGGAAATTCTCCTTAGGTTTAGTTTGGATCTTTCCTTGACAAGTTTCCATCCATAGCTTCTTGTCCTGCTTCGGACAATAAATTGACCCCCTTTCCCCTGTGACAGCCTCTCAAATACTGAAAGACATCTACCGTGTCACGCTTAATCCTCTCTTCGATAGGCTAGACATACGGAGTCCCTTTAATCAATCATTCATAGACAAGGAATAATGGATGGAAACTGAACAAGGAAAGATTCAACCTGGAAATAAGGAGAAACTTTCTGACAGTGAGAACAATCAATCAATGGGAACAGCTTTCCCTCGGAAGTTGTGGAAGCGCCACCACTTGAGACTTTCAAGAAGAGATTGGACTGCCATTTGTCAGAAATGGTGTAGGGTCTCCCGCTTGGGTGGAGGGTTGGACTAGATGACCTACAAGGTCCCTTCCAACCCTGATTATCTGTTATAGTACGGTTTAGCCTCCAGCCCCCTATTCAACTTTGTTGCTCTTCTTTGCACTCTTTCTTAGAGTCTCAATGTGTTTTTTTGTATCATGGTGGCCAAAACCGGAGACAGTATTTCAAGGTTGCTCTTACCAAAGCAGTATAAAGTGGTACTACTAACATTTCATGTGATCTTGATACTATCCCTCTGTTGATGAGCCTAGGATCGCATTGGCTATTTGGGTAGGTGCAGCACACTGGTGGATCATACTTAAGTGGTTGACCACAAGGACTCCTAGATCCTCTTCACAATTTCTGCTGTTGAAGCAGTTATCACCTATTCTATGCCTATGCATTTGGGTTTTCTTGCCTAGGTATAAAACCTTACTTTTATCACCTCTGAGTTCCATTTTGTTGGACAGGGTGCTCAACGGTGTTCAAGTTTGTCAAGATGCCAGCAAGATGCCAGGCAGTACAGGGAGTCCTCAACTTATGACCCTAATTGAGTTTGAGATTATGGCTATAAGCCATGCCGGTTGTTAAGTAGATTATCACATGGTCTATTTCACAACACTTTTTTTGTGATGGTCATTAAGCAATCCCATCGCCCAAAAAATGGGTGGTTTTTTTGTCAGAAATCAGAAGTAAATGCCATTTTTCAGCAAAAAAACCCAGTGTGTTGTGGTCATGCGACTTCAGGACATTGTAAATGGCCATAAAAACGGCCCAGTTCCTGAGTACCCAAAATGTGGACAGCTATCAGAACTTTGAATGTGGGTGGTCAGTAGGTAAGCAATGGGTTGTAAATCAAGGACTGCCTTTATTCAAGCAGCCATATAAAAACTCAGTTAACCAAGATTAGTTATTTCGATCAAAACAATGATAAACTAAATGCATTAGCATTTGATAAAATAATAAATGTATTAGCTCAAGGCCCCGTGGGTCAGATCTGGCCTGCGGAGTGCTTAGATCTGGCCAGTGGGCTTCCTCTAGAAACAGTGAAGGACTGGCCCACGGTGACTCTGCACATGAAAATGGAACTTGGGAGGGCCACGGGCAGCCTTCCTGGGCTCTGTTTTCAGCCATGATGGCCCTCTGCCAGCAAAAACAAAGCCCGGGGAGGCCGAAAACAGGGCGTCAGTGACTTATGTTGAGCTAGCCACGCCCCTCCTGGCCACGCCCCCCCAAAGATCAAACACAACCCTGATGTGGGTCTCAATGAAATCCAGTTTGACACCTTTGGCCTAGAGCAAAATGTGGCGATTGAATTATTAAATGATTTTTTAAACAACACCTATAATTTATTCAAATTAAACTTAAACTTGGAACATAAGTCTTAACATCAGCTAGTTTGACTCCATCTTCTTACTAAAAGAATATAAACTTACCAATAATGACACCAACTTCGCATCGCTGGTCATCATATCCACAAGTCATCATTGTTCCCACAGTGTCATTGACCAATGCCAAAACTTCTATATCAACATCCTAATGGCACAAATGCAACAGAACCTCCAGTGGTTTTCAACAAGTCTAATTTTTTTTAAGGAAGTAAGATCTATTCATGATATTACACAAGTTTGCTTTATACCAAGGGTCTGCAACCTTAAACACTCAAAGAGTCGTTTGGACCTGTTTCTCCACAGAAAAGAAAACACGGGGAGCCAATAATTTAACAACCGGTGTGACTGGGTGGATGTGGCCGACTGATGTCACTCACTCCCACCCACTCATCTCCTGCTCTGGAATATGAAGTGAATCTCCATCCCCCGCTATCACCCTTACCTTCTCAGGCCAGGCGAGGACTGATGGGGAGGGGAGGGATAGGGGCAGCCAGTGATGAGATCAGCCAACAGGGAACCGCAACAGAGGGCCGAAAGAGCCGCATATGGCTCCAGAGCCGCAGGTTGCAGGACCCTGTTTTATACAATCAGTATTGTTATATTATGGACAGAGCTTTTGGGTCACTGGTATTCCTAGAACATTGGTCACTGGTAACTCCAGATACCATAGGTCAGGAATTTCAACAATGGCAAAAAAAATATATCAAATGATCAGGCTTATATTACAAATAAATTACTGTCCATAAATAAATCAAAGTATCGGAGAAACCATCTAAATGCCATTAAAACTCTTGTGTCTGTATCCTTTAGGTGAAATAGACCATCATAGGACCACAATTTTTTAACCAAGGTACACAAATGGGCTAACCACCTATGGAACTGAAATCTGCCAAATTTTATAAACCATTTTATGACATTAAAATGATCATAAAGTATTTTGTGACACAATACAAAATGTCATAACACATTTCCTATGGCCAACTCGGATGTTTGATTGTGCTATACAGTTCAACATGGGCTACTCCCAAGGCAGATCTATCTTTGAATATCTCCTTGAATTTTTAAGAACTTTTAAGTACATCAGAAGCTCTGTTTGTGTGAAGGCATTGAGGAATCTGGTAAGGAAATTTCCAACATACCTATTTTATTTTAAAAAGACATCAGTTTGTGCCTGTTAATAAAAGTCAGAACTGGTGCTATCAGAATCTTGATTGTGTTGTCACTATAGACCAGGGGTCCCCAAACTTGGCAACTTTTTGTGGACTTCAACTCCCAGAATTCTCCAGCCAGCTGGCTGGAGAATTCTGGGAGTTGAAGTCCACAAGTCTTAAAGTTGCCAAGTTTGGAGACCTCTGCTGTAGACCAAAAGAGCTTTCCTTCTATTCAGCAGGCATAATCAATAAACAATATACACACTGCAGGTGAAACACAGGTTATTCAGAAAACGTATCAGGTTGAACTTGCCTTGTGCTTTCTGAGGGCTTTGCACAGATTGTTCACCACATCCGTCTGTTGTACCCCTCGAAGTTTAAAATGTTTTGTCCATGAAAGAAGGACCCCCTACCAAAGGAGCAATTATTAATAATAAATTAGACGATGTTGATATAAATCCATTCATGTTTGTGACTGGTGACTCAGCAAAAGCAACAGGATAAAAATCATAATTTATCACTGAATAAAAGAAGGACTTTTTGGTGACATGAGAGCAGCATTCCAGTATTTGAGGGGCTGCCACAAAGAAGAGGGGGTCAAGTTATTTCCCAAAGCACCAGAGGGCAAGACAAGAAACAAGGGATGGAAATTAACCAAGGAGAGAAGCAACCTGGAATTCAGGAGAAACTTCTGAACAGTGAGGACAATTAACCAGTGGAACAGCTTTGCCTTCAGACCTTGTGGGTGCTTCATCACTGGAGGTTTTTAAGAAGAGACTGGACAGCCATTTGTCTGAAAAGGTGTAGGGTCTCTTGCTTGATTGGATTAGAAGAACTCCAAGGTCCCTTCTAGCTCTATTCTGACTAAAATGTTTAAGTTTTTCCTGGTTTTGAAATGCAATTGAGTCCTGATGTCTTAAAGTTTAATGATTCCTAGAGGAGCCCAGATTCCCTATTCTATACCGACGTTGGAAAAAAATGCATAGGATTGGAACAGTACCAAATGGCTTCATCTCAAGCACCATTCAGTTCTTTTCAGACAGGAGTATGGATGGCCCAGATCCTCATCCTCTCATTTTCAGCCCATTTTCAGGTTGTTTAAAAGCAAGGTACTAGACTAGATTTGGATGAAAAAACTAATTGATATATCCTACTATTATATTAGCTTGAACACTTTAGAGCAGAATTCTGGGAGTTGAAATCCACACATCTTCAAATTGTCAGAGTTGAGAAACGCTGCTTAAATTATTTGGTGACAGTAAGTAATTTATTACCAATAATTTACCAACCATAACTTTACTCTGCTTTTAATGTGACACACACGGTTGCGCTTACCTCCTCCAATTTTTTCTGCCTACAGGGAAAAGAAAAGGTAAAACCAAGAGGTAGTTTCTTATATTTTATGTCCTTTGTCTCCATAAAGTCTGCAAGACAGTCGGCCACATATTGAAACAGCTGGAAAGGAACACAGACTAAATATTATTTTAATGGGTTAATAATACCATATGATACAAAATGCTTTTTGCATTTCCTTTCAAATAAAGATTCTAAGCAGCTCACACTGAAGAAGAGGTAAATATTATCAATTATCTATATAGATAGTTCTTTTTCTTAAGCATGCACGCCAGCTAAAATGTCTTCTTACATCAGTGTAACTAATTTGTTACCATTTCAATAAAAAATAATATTTATTCTCAAACTAACCTCCAAGAGTTTGGGGCTGTAATCTCTCAGAATTTGTAGCCATCAGGAATTCTGCAAACTGCAATGCTAATATAGAGGGGAAATCTATGTGTCAGACCTACCCCAGTCAGATGCCTTAGGAAAGAAAGTCCTTCAACTCCATTAGGCCATTAGTCAGGCTCTTTTACCGAAGGTTGCTGGTTGCAGTAAAATCAGGCTAGAACTAAGATTCCTGTGCAAAAGGATACAAATTTCCCCCCCTCATCCCAGCCCTCTTCATTCATAGGTGTTTTGAGAATCACCAAGATGTTTGGGACAATCCACATTCCATTCTCAGGGTGCATGGCCTTGAATACTGGAACAAACTGGTTCTGTGCTTTCCTGGTCTTCATCAAACTGAAATCCCCCCTCCCTATTTCCCATCACATTCCCCATGCTTGTTTATTGCTCATTTGTCATCGTCCCCTCACCCCCTCCCCACTAGCTTTTGATGGCAGGATGCTGGCAAGGCACCAACCCGAAGATGGCAGAACTGACACTATGTTTGGTCTTGAACCTTCCTTATTTGAGCTTTCCAACCAGAGAGAAAGAGTTGTTAACTCAGACCACCCTCCCCATAAGCAATGTTTTTCAATCTCAGCCCCTTTAAGATGTGGGGATTTCTGGGAGCTGAACTTCGTACATCTTAAAGGGGCTGAGACTGAAAATATACTAGAGATTTCATGATTTTGCTATCCAGGGAAGGGTTTGATAAATTAATCTGTAAAACCACAGGGACTAGAATTCACAGATTTAGGAAATCAATTTGCAGATACCTATCATCCACTGAGTTGAATGCAGCAAATTCTGTTGAAAGTTCCAGAATTTGCAACGATTAAACAAGAAGTTGTAGGATGCGATGTTCATTTATGACATGCCTCAAAATCCATACGAGCAAATCCCAAAGGGATACAAGTCTCAAAATGATACGGTACTTACATCTGTTCCACTTCCTTGTATGATTTCTTTAGGTGTTGGGTAGAACTGACTATCCATTTGTACATGTTGTTTTCCTTCTTCGGCTACTTTAACGTGCAGGACTTTAAATTTGGAACCACCCAAGTCCAAAGCTAGGAATTCTCCCTTTTCTGTAATGGAAGTAATAGTGAGTAATGATTAATTCCTCTGCAAATTCTTGCCAAATGATGCTTCATGAGCCTCAATAGTTTTTTAATACAGAGATTGGATACGGCTATTGGATGCAGCCATGTTTGAAGAACCTCTAGTCTACAAACACATGAGCCCACATTTAGCCTTCAGTACAACATTTAGTCTACAAAAACATGAGCTGTGGTGGCACAGTGGTTAGAATGTAGTATTGCAGGCTAATTCTGCTGACTACCAGCAGTTCGATTCTCAACGGCTCAAGGTTGATTCAACCTTCCATCGTTCTGAGGTGGGTAAAATAAGGACCCAGATTGCTGGGAGCGATACGCTGACTTTGTAAACTGCTTAGAGGGCTGTGAAGTAGTATATAAGTGAGTACTATTGCTATCTATAAAGACATACAAGTGTCATTAAAGACCAATTTCTTGTGAATATATCAGGTGAATACTGTCCCAAGACTACGAGTAGAGCCTCACTGTGGACTTTCATCACAAATATTAAAAGTGTCATGATATCAAGAAATAATCTGAGACTTAAGCTATTGTAGGGGTGCAAACTCAATTTCATTGAGGGTTGCATCAAGGCTGTGGTTGACCTCAGGGGAGCCAGGGGAGGTGATTAACTGGGTGAGTGTGGCCAGCTTGACACCACTCCCCAACTGCTGGCATGTTTCCTCTTCATACTGGGTAGACTGTGTTGAAGCCATTCTGGCCCGATGTTTCCTCTTCTCATTGATGACCGCACGGGCCGGATCTGACCACATTGCGGGCCAGATGCAGCCCCTGGGTCTTGTGTTTGACACCCCTGAGCCAGGGGTGGGATTCAAATTTTTCAACAACCAGTTCTGTGGGCGTGGCTTAGTTGGTGGGCATGGCTTGGTGGTCATGTGACTGGCTGGGCATGGCCAACCCAACATCACTCACATCGAGGCACGCATCTCCTCACCTGGCCTCTTGTGACTGTGGGGATGCTGCAACAGTCGTAAGTGTGAAAAACGGTCATAAGTCACTTTTTTCAGTGCCATTGTAACTTTGCATGGTCACTCCACACAAGCAAAGTACCAGCAAAGGAGGGGGGAAAAACTCCAGAGAAGTTCCAGAGACAGGAAGTCTAGTCCTGCCAAGAATGTAATAAGGGTTAACGGAGAGGCAGTTTCTGTAAGCAACACCAGAATGTTTCCTTCCTGCCTTCCTTACAGGATTAGGCCAGTAATTTCTTCTAACAACCGGTTCTCCAAACTGCTTAGAATGTTAACAAGCGGTTCTAGCGAATAGATGCAAACTGGTAGAATCCCACCCCTGCCCTGAGCTCTACCTGACTCTGTGGTTTCTTCCCCAAACCCCAAAAACTTTAACCTTAAGACTGTCTACTATTGACTCACCCCTTTCCTAAGAAGTCTGTAGGGGGCGTGCATAAGTGCACCAACGTGCCTACTGTCCCTGTCCTATTGTTTCTTTTTTATTCGTATCCATTTCATGTATTCATAACCATGTTTATACTTATACCTGTTACCTAATACTTGCTTGACAAATAAATAAATAGTAAATAAATAAATATTGGGTAAAGATCTTCTAACGTCAGAGGGATCCTGCCATTCTTGGATTTGCAAAGTTATAACAACTTTGCAAATCCAAGAATAGCAGGATCCCTCTGACATTATAACAAGGGATCCGTTATAACGAGGACTCGGTAGTGAGCTACTGTCAACTGTCTCACTCAAGTCATCTAGCAAAGAACAACTCCTGGCCATTGGTTTTGCCAAGAGGATACTGTACTGAAGCTTAATGGTTACAGAAGTAGTGTAAGCTGAATCGGAGGATTTTCCGTGCAAACAGCACAGTGAAAATTTCTCTCTCCCCCTTCCCCCCTCCACCCGCTCTGGTTATCTGCAAATGTTCAATCAGGTGCTTGTATATTGTTCAGGAGACAGGTAGTCAGTTCCCAGCTCAGCATCTCATTAATGACCTTGGGTGGTGCTTCTCCCAAGGCTCAGCTGGGCTTTCCCCACTACTCCACTCCCGCTTCTTCCTTGCGTTCCAATCTTTCTCTCCCCCACCCCAATGGTGCTAATGTCAGGCTGTCAGCTCATGGAAGCTTGCATAGGTGAGATGCAGCCATGACAGATACAATGAGGATGTGGTCATGATGCAGTGGTGTCTACAGAGAAGGGTTGGGGCCTGAATGTTTGGGGTTGAGCTTTGATTATTCCAAAGTTAAGTGTGTTAAGTATGTCAGAATTTTAGAGCTTGTTTTAGAGCCAGGGTTCCCAACCAAGGGTGTAAGACGATGTTCCAGGAGGTGCAAAAACTTGGGTTTAGAAGTTTTAAAATTTAAAAAGTGTATATGCACAATTATGTGGATGTAATTATTTAATTTTGTAAGAGGTGCGAGAATATATCAGAAGCATCCTAGGGGTGCGGAGTATAGAAAAGGTTGGGAACCCCTATTTTAGAGCTTATTTTTTTCTAAAACAGCAAAAAACAATAGCGTACTACCAAAAATGTGCTGCCAGATTTTACCAGTGTAACCTGGAAAGGCTCTAAGAACCAGAACAATGAAGTTGGAGCTACCTGAAACTTTAAGCCTCCTGCCTATTGGGACACCGGGACCATTATAAATACATGCCAATTGCCAAGCACCCAAATTTTGATCACATGACTGGGGATGCTTGCAGCAAATCATAAGTGCCAGGACCCATCATAACTTGTAACTGCCATAATAACTTTGAATGGTCTCTAATTGAATGATTGTAAGTTGGGGGATACCTGTTGGATCAAAAGAAAGGCCTTACCTGAGCCATCAGGAAGTGACCTCACAAAAGTTGGTAGCATTTTTACTGCAGCTGTTGGATTGGTATCTCTTCCTAGACCTTTCACCATCTCTGCTTGGAAACGAGTCATCACATCGTGTAAAATATCATCAGAAAGGCGCATTTGGTATAGGTACCGATCAACCTTGGAATAAAATATACTAGCTACTCGTTATTGTTCTCTTTCTCTCTCTTTCACTCACTCACTCACTCACTTGCTCCCTCTCAATAGAACTTTTGTAGGGAATATACCTATGTGTGCTTGTTGTGGGGGTGAATATGTAACTCCAGATAAATGAACACAAGGGGAGAAAAATGGAAGACCTCCCAACCCTTGGGAAGATGGAAAATGCCATCGGGTGAATCAGAAGATCAATGGAAAAAAGCTTCTAGAAAACAAAGTATTCCATTTCCACCCTGAAAACATCATTCCCTCTTTGAAAACATCAAAAATGCCCCCAAATTGTACTGCTAATTTTGGGTACCAAAATTAATGCATTTTGACACTGTAATTTTCAGGGCCCTGGAGGCATTACAAGTGGGAAAGAACTTGACTACTTTTAATTCTGAGAAAGAAAGAAAAAGGGGAGGGGGTTTCCCAAAAAACAGCCACTTCATTTATGCCATCTGTGGCAATTTTTATTTTATTTTATTTATTTTATTTTATTTTATTTTATTTTATTTTATTTTATTATTTTA